TTAATGAGTTTTTTGGGTTCATTGAGAACATGGTTGTTGTTCAATAATAAAATTATTCCTCAAAAATACAACTTGCCTAATAATTCTGCACTCCCTGTAGTTTTGTGCTTAAAAGGAAAACATTTGGCGTATTTTAATACCACATATATATATTATTGAAAGCACATACATATTTTAACACAAACATGTCTTAATAGCCGGGGTTCCTTTTAATGGTCATTGCCTGAGAAAAAGCATGCAGAGAAGATGATCTGTAAAACCTTGTCACACAAAGTAAGAAGCTATTATTAAAAACTTTAATATTTAGCAGTAACTGAAAAGAAAAATATTCTAGTTGCAATCTATGTTGCACACAGCATGTTTAAACTACTTTAACTGTTGATGCCAGAGGTCAGAGCATAACCAGACTGCTTTGAGCTGACAGGGAGGCCAGCAGTAAATCAAATATTAACTCAATGGGAACTCAAAAATTAAACCTCACTTTAACTAGACAGCACCAAATCACAATAACAGTCGCTCAGTTTTATCTGTGTCACGGCCCATGGCTCGGCATCCAGGGAGCCGTGGGAGGCTACGGTGGCCACACCCTCGAGCTGGGCCGCCTCCAAACCACCTACGTCTCATCTGAGGCAATCACCGGAGAACTACTTCAGCCAGCTCTGACAGCTTCTCTTCGCCAGTCCGTAAGTCTCCTCCCAGTGTGACCAGCATTCGGCGTGGAAGCTTGTGGCCTCCCTCCCTCCCTAGGATTCCCTTCACGGGCACCTCTCCCCTCCAAGCTCCACGGTCCTGCTCTACCTGTAAGCCTCGGCAACTTATGAAGTCTAGCTGTTCATTTCTTGACAACCTGCGTGCTGTTAACTGTGTCTCCCCTTTCTGTTGCAGTTTCCCCACGGTCCCGATTACGGTGCTCCTGGGCTCCACGCTCCTCGTTTCCCCCCGTGGTATGAGCCTTAGTTTTTCGTTTCCTTAGCGTTGTTAAAAGATTCTTCAGTTCAATAAAAACTTGTACATAGTTCTGAGCTGCGGTGTGCTGAGTCTGCTTTGGGGTCCTGTTACCTGAACACTCCGTGTTCTGTGACAATCTGGATTTACAAGCTGGAAATTAGAGGTCATCCAGGTCTTTATGTCTTTAAGATGTTCCTGCAGTTTAACTAATTGGTGTGTGCTACCTGACTTCCGACTTCATAGATAAACCTGGGTATCATCTGCAAACCAATAAAAATGCATGCTAATGATATTGCCTAAGGCAGGGGTCCCCAATGCCAGTCCCTGCAGGTTTTAGATCTCACCCTGAGTCAACACACCTGAATCACATGATCAGTTCATTACCAGGCCTCTGGAGAACTGCAAGACATGTTGAGAAGGTAATTTATCCATTTAAATCAGCTGTGATGGATCAAGGCCACATCTAAAACCTGCAGGGACACCGGCCCTCGTGGACTGGGATTGGGGACCCCTGGCCTAAGGGAACCATATATAATGTCAGCAGAATCCTAGAACCTTTGGACTTCCCATTTACATTAACACATTAGAGTTTATTAGATATGATTCAAATCACAGCAGTGCAGTATCTATGGCATGCTCTAATTTCTATAATAAAATATTCTCAACAGTATCAAACACTGCACTGAGGTTTAGCCATACAAGCACAGACATAAATCCACTGTCAGAGGCCAAAAGAAGATCAGTATGAATATTCACTAATAAGCATAAGTTACAACCAAGTTATGCAGAAAGGCATCTCTTAAAACATGTCAAACCTTAAAGCAGATGGGCTATAGCAGCAGAAGACCAACCTGGATGCCATCTCTGTCAGCTAAGAACAGGAAATTGAGGCTACACAACAAGTTCACTATAACTGGACCATAGAAAATAAAAAAACATTGCCTGATCTGATAAGTCTCATCCATCCTACCTTTAATCAGTGTTTCAGGCTAGTAGTGGTGTTGTAATGGTGTGGGTTATATTTACTTGGCACATTTTGGGCACCATAGTACCAAGTGAGCATCGTTTGAGTGCCAGAGCCTACTCGAGCAACAAATAAAGTGGCTAATGAGTGTAAAAGTTAGGCCCTACACAAATCCAAAGAAAACCTTTCAAGGTTGAAAAAGACTTTTAGTTAACAGGTAGATACTAAAATAACTACTCATATATAATGCTTTGAATTTCTAATATCTAAATGTCACTGAACAATTGGCACTCAGAAACACAGCTTGAATCTTATCACAGCATCTTTTCAGCTCCTCAGAAATCCTGCAATTTCAAGTTTAAAGAGACCTTTTTTTAACCTGTGGTCTATTGCAGTATAAAAGAGAAGAAACTTTCAGTCTAATTGTAAAGAAGATGAATTGGAGATTTGACATTCACGTTTATTATGTTGCTTCAAACGGAAACCTGACCATGAGCAAGACATCAATACTAATGTGAAAGCCTGTGTGGGCCTGTGCTTTTGTTCATGAGATGGGCACCACATTCACATAGTCTTCCACCATCTCAAACATAAAGTGATGGGGCCCACTACGTCGAGCCACCTCTCCGGCAGTCTCCCCGCTGCTGCTGCGGAGCCCCGGCTTCAGATGGCGCTGAGAGAGCAGCAGCTCTAAGGTGTGTCTGGAGTCTGTTTTTGAGAAGCTTGTGTATGAAGCAGCGAGATGTAATGGTGTGAGTCCACCGTTGGTCTGGGCGTTCAGTTCCGCTCCGTGCTGCAGGAGACAACTCGCCACAGAAACGCGGCTCCAGCGGCAAGCGCTGTGAAGGGGAGTCCAGCCGTCGATGGTGCGGGGGTTGACCTTAGAGCCGCCGGCAAGCAGAGCACAGACGACTTCGATGTGACCGCTGTATGCTGCACGGTGCAGGGGAGTGTAACCATCTTCATCACAGCAGTGCACCAGCGAAGGATCAGCAGCTAACAAACTGTGGACTGTGGCAAGCTGAAAGAAAACCACATAAAGTGATTGTAAGAAAACCTTTCATTTGAGCTGCTCTTTCTCAAATAAAACTTCATTTCTGCAACATTGATCACAAGGTCGGCTCCATTTGTGCTTCATGCAAACTTTAAATAGTCACATAAGCACCTTCGTTTATTTTTTACTTTGCGGTAAAGGCACCAAAAGCTGTCAAAGGACCTCATGCAGCAGTTTGATTTTCAGACTTTCTGATACCTCTTCAGCAAATCTTTGGTTTAACCAACAAACTGATACCAATAACGTAGGCCAACAAAGAAAAAAGGTCAAAAGGAACACTCTGCAAACACTTGTCAACTAGTCTCTGAGCAGTGGAGAAACTTTAATATAAACTGGAAACGTAGACTGTTCAGCTTCAAAGTAAAGGTTACCCACATGGAAAAGATATATACAGTATAAATCTTATAAAGTTTGTATCTGTCTTGTGTGAAACTTGTATGAAAAGCATATAAGAGTGAAAACAGATATAAGATCCCTTGAAAAATTATATAATGAAACTTGTATGTTTTGGATACTTACTAAAACAATGTATGAAAGTAATTAGAAAGTGGTCACTTTCATGAGTAAATCACATATAAGTTTTTACTATTTCTTTTCCATATGGGTATGCCTCACCACTGTAACTACAGACAGACAAAAGATTAATGTAGTTACTGTGATGTCACCAATTTTTAAACCTTAAGACAAGCATATTTGCAGTTGCCATTTTGATTTACTTCAGTTCCATTTAAGTGTTTTTTCACCGTATACCTATTTTAACTACTGACTTCCAGCAACCGGTTGGCAATAAACAGTCTTTTCTTGCAGCCGGTGGTTATCAGGGAGTTACCAACCTCCTGCTATGCCTGAGTAACTGGGGCCCAAGTCCAACTGCTAAATACAGCGCAATGCACAAATTATGATTTAAAGACAGTAATGTCAGACTGAAAATCCCCCTGCAGGAGGAAGAACTGCTGTTTAAATTATATTCACACATGCACTGTAGCCCCGGATCAGGCGTCAAAAGATCTTCTCCCTGCCAGCTTCCTTGTACAAAGTCAGTGCAAGGTCAAACTGAGAACACAGAAGGCAAAAGCTCTGGGAATTTACAGCAAATGAGTGGGTGCTGCGCATCCTGCCTCCTACATGCTCTACCCAGCTTCTTAGCTCCAAAGTTAAGCTGACTTGTTCCAGAGGTGAGAACAATGAGAACACATCTGATGAAAATCTCCTGCTGTGGGCTACATGTACAAAAAGGAAACTCTGGACAGCTCCATGAAATTATTCTCCTGACATTATCAGGACTTACTGTCTGGAAACTGCTCAGCTGAATTCTTCTACTCACTTAATCAAGACAAAAATCAAGAAAATTTGTCATGACTCCAAATAACTTTGAATTATTTGGGAATTTATTCCACGCACGAATCTTTTTCAATTATGGTGTGTTGAGGGAAACTGCTGGATGTGACAGTGTTATAATGCAAATAATGAACTTTGATTAAATCAGGCTGACGCAAGTTTAATTATCTGCAAGTGTATATTGTTTTTCATTCAGCTTTTGTGCCTTGTCTTTTTCGGGAGTTCAGGCTGTATTAAATGCAGCTGTGTTTCTGTGCTGCTTCCTGCCTCATGGTGTAGAAAGTCATGAGATTTTTTATTCTTCGGTGGAACTTCTGCAATTCTTGACATTTAAATATTGAATTTACCACAAGTCTCAGACAGCAGGTTACTCATACAGCTATACTGGTGCATTAGTATATAGTTCTATCATTTTTAATCTAGACGGTCACTTTGTAAACTCTGACTGTGTTTTGTTTTTATTTTTTATATAACTGGGGAAAAGGTATTGATGCCTTCTCAGTATTAAAATTTGAAATTCAAATATAATCACTGCTGCCTGTGAAATATTTACAACTAATTCACGAGTTCCCATTTGTGGTTAGAGAGCCATGTGTAATTTTAACTAGAAGAAATAATCATTTAAAAAAAATCAACATTCAAGACTATTTATTTACACTATTTAACCTTCTCAAGTGGAAACAACTTAAAGGATACCACAAACCATCCTGTGTGTGGTCAACGTCTCCGTGGGATTAGAACAAAAATCTGCCAAAATAAAGGATGCGTATGATGAAACTGTGCTTTTATCTTTGTATTTATCCTTAAAGGTGAGGTGTAAAAATTAAGTGAATATACGAAGCTGATTAGTTTTGCCATTGCTCTACCCTCACACTTGGATGATGTCCAGCTTCAGCCAGTAGGAATTTTATGCAGTTACGGTTAGTTGCTGCTTAGATCTCGCAGCAGGCCAGAGATCTGTCGGGGGAAAATATTTGTTTGACAAACATTTGACTTTAATGGAGTGACTTTAATTTGTGTCCCTAAATGCTGTAATTATTATTTATTCAGCTCTGCTTCTATCCTGAGATGAAGACTCAAAGGTCATGACTGGTTTGAAATTCATAAAGCATCAGCTTGTGCTGTGATTTTTCCCCAGTGTGCGCCCCCAGGACTTTAATTCAAACTTGAATAAATAGTGTCTAGTAATTGACCAAGAGGGATGCTTGGCTGAGAAATTGCAGTAAATAGACGTGGCAGTCAGTGTATCCTGAACTAAAATTTAGGGGAGACATCAGCAACGGCAAAGACCGGCGGCTCTATACCTTCAGTTTTCATTTCCCAGTGACCTTTAAAATAAAAAAGCTCATGCTTTAAAATAACATAGGTTTCCAGAGGCGTAGTTTTACTGTCAACAAATAGTCAGCAGCAGATGCTACATTGGATAACTCAGTATCTTACAGAGAAAACCAGCGACAAAGAAGGAAAAAGAACAGACTGATCCGCTCGCAGCTGCTGACTGCAAAGAGGAAGATGATGGGGAAGAGGGCAGGAGTGTGTGAGGGGGAAGCAAAGTGCTGCTTTTAAGATGACAGCAAAATGTATTTTTGTGGTATTATGTTGAGACCACTGAAAGCTGCTGTCGCCATTTTCACGACAGGAAAAAGTCATTTGCAGAAGAAGCTGTACTGCGACAGCCGTTTAATCTCGGTACAATAATAGTGTTAACTCGTTTCCTGGTCACTTCTGAGACTGCAGCGTATTTAGGTGAACTTTGTATAAGTTTGGTATCTTTAGTTAAGTAAAGGTCATCGACAGAGAGTTGGGATCAAAACGGGTAAAATTCATCTTAAACTACCAAAAAAAAACAAACACCTACAGTAGTTGACAAAAGTGAGCTAAACTGCAGCAGCACAAGATGTTCATGTTGATAGATGGTTAAAAAACCTGGATGCCCAAAGGATGAAAATCAAACCATGTTTCAGTTTAAAGACCTGAATGACTGATGATACCGTTTGTGCTGCAACAGATGGAAGAAAAACTCAAAGTTTAACTATTCAGGCTACAATATAAACGAGGATATTATCTCCTTCCTTTGGGTTCTACTGTAGTTCACGTGAAGAAGGAAGGAAATGAGAAGCAAAACAACTAAACTTTTCTTTTCTTTTTTCTTTTTTTTTTTAAAACGCTGCAAAAACGAAGATGAAGCCAGAAGGGAATTGGTACCAGTTGGCACCAGGAAAAACTGGCACTTTGTTTCAATAGATTCACACTTCAAATTAGATAGCCTGTCAGCAGTGACAGTAGCTCACTGTAAAACAAGGATGGAAAACATTTTCCCCCATACATAATATCATTTTCACAAATTTCCTTGAAATAATAATGTTATTTTAAAGCTCTACCGCTCACCCCTAATCTGAAAACAAAACTGGACTTACGCGATTGTTTTCCGCCGCCCACAGAATGAGCTCGTTGGGTTCATCTTTGAGAGCTTCCTCCTTTTCCAGATACCACTCCTCACTGTGCTCCCTCTCCTCTGGCTCTTCTTCATCGTCCTTGCTTCCGGTCCACACGCTGCCAGACCCTCGGGGGATCAGGTGTCCGTGTGTGTCGAGAAGCTCGAGCTGGTTAAAATCTTCTGGAAACTCCATCAGTCGCTGCTTTGGACAGAGAAGACACGTCAGAGTTATTAGTTTGTTCCTTGTGTTAAGGTTGAAGTAGACACAAACACCAGTGAGCCACCCAAAGAACCAATTAATTTCTACCTAGTGTTTGTGTAAGATATGATCTACCAGTGTGCAACGACCTAAAGCCTAGTGGCTCATTTATTTCCCCCAGTTCTTTATAGACCGCATTGGATAAAAAATGTCCAGCATCATTAGGATTACAGAAACATATCCAGCTGCCGGGCTCGGGCTACCTCACTGCTGACAAACAGTCATTATAGAAGAATCTGGCATGCACAGATGGTTTCATAATTATTTTTGGTCTGTTGCTTCTTAAATTTGATATTCGCACCTTTAAGAGTAGACAAACAATAAGCCATCACATCTGTTGTTCCCGTCAGATTCTTTCTTAGCTGCGGCACTGACACAATGAGGGAATTAATGAGTAGAAAAATAATCAAAACCTATTTTGGTAACTGGAAAATGTCAAATATAGACCTTTCAAGTTTCTCAAATGTGAGCTGTCATTCCATTATTCCTAGTTTGCAATATCAGAATGGTTAATTGACTGGCAGACTTTACAACAGAAACCATTTTATCGTCATTTTTGTTATGATCAGACATTCTCGCATCAGGTTTTTAGCTATTTTTTTTCCCCTTTCTCCCTTTTATGTCAGTCTAAATTAAATCTCTCGGGTAGGACAAAGCTGACTACTCTCAGTGGCTAAAAAATAATTAACTGAAAAATTACTGAAAGGGAAGTGATGAAAATTATAATTGTATCAAAGTAAAAACAATGTTTAATTTTACAAGGTGTGAATCGAAAAACTTTAAGTGATTGCTGCTTATTAAAATAGGGTTAGGACAATAAATCGGATGAGTTTGGGTGACTCAGGATGTTAGAGCACAACCCTGGTTTGACAGTGCAACTGTTGTGGGTGGACTCTCAGTGCAGAATACTGTAAATGTCAGAACAAAAACAAACATGCTCCTGTTCAGGGGGCTTATCTTCAGGCTTTGATGTTGGGAACTTCTGTTTGGTCACCCGGTTGTAGCGTGAGGCTCCGCTCTCATCATTAGTGACACTCAGGATTGAGGAGAGTGAAAGGGATTTCCAGAAAACTGCACTGGAAACGGTCCAGAGGTGCAGAGAAAGGGGACTTTAAGAGGCATCAGGTGTGTTTTTTTTGACTAGGTCACTCCAAACATTTTTGTTTTGGAGCCGTTAAGAAGTGGACTGCAAATCTTTTTCCTGCTGCAGGACTCAAATGTGTTCAAGCTTCAGGGCATGAATGTCAGACATTCTCCTTCAGAATTTTCTGGTAGAAAGCAGAATTCATGGTTGCATCAGTTACGACAAGTCATCCTGATCCTGAAGCCGCAAAGCAGCCCCAGACCATTACACTACCACCACCATGCTTGACTGTTGCTACGATGCTCTTTTTATGAAACCTTTGACTCAGTCCATGGAATATTTTCCCAAAAGTCTAAGGCATCATCAAGATGTCTTTGGGCGAATGTGAGACAAGTCGTCGTGTTCCTTTTGGTCAGCAGTGGTTTTTGCCTGTTTGTTGTTTTGCAACCTCCTGGATAAGTCGTTGATGTGTTCTTGGAGGAATTTTGGTAAGCTGGCCACTCCTGGAAAAGTTCAGTGGTGAAGCTGGTCATTTCTAGACAGTGCCTCTCACAGCAGTTTGCTGGAGTCCAAAACCTTGGAAATATCTGTGTAATAATTTCCAGACTGATAGATGAGAAATTGTTTCTCAGGAGTTCTCGACTTTCTTTAGATTGTGGCATGATGTGTTGCTTTTAGAGATCTTTAAATCTACTTCACTTTGAAAAACAGGTTCTATTTACATATTTCATAATTGAAGAGGTCCAACAGTAACCAGGTCTTTGCATGGCTAGCTTTCCAAAATAAAGTGTGATTAATGGCTTTGAATTTGTGACTTAACAAGGTGGGGAATTACATTTTGACAGTGGCCGGTGCAGTTTTTATAACTTTTGCCCTTAATAAATGAAATCACCACTTACATACTGCATTTTGTATTTACTCGGGTTACCTTTGTATAGCATTAAAATTTGCTCATCGTTTCACTTGACTGTAAATGCTAAAGAAAAAAAGCCTTGTTAACCTGACTCATGTGCATTAAAAATTTATTATCTTCATCAATGCTTCTTCAGCATTAAGTCTTTATTCATGCTCAAATGTAAAGCAAAATAATGTAGGGTTTAGAACTGGAGCTGTAATGCAACTCAATGAAAATAAAACATCTTTAAGGGGTCCTAAATGACCTGACAACGACCCTATTCCTTGAGAAATGTTCACTTAAAAATGAACATGACAACTTTATTAGGAGACCTCCAAAGGTTGATTCTGTTCATCTGGACGGAGCGTTTTCAGTGGGAGAAACGTTTCGTCACTCATCCAAGTGACTATGAGTGAAACAAAGGCGTTAGATTAATTTTACAAGCAGTTCACGACATTTAATTCACACTTACACACCTGAAACTGTTCCGCCAGATGCCGTTGTGATCGTAGGCTGTTCAAACCGTTGTGGACATTCTGCACCGTGACGTATGGTAGCCGTGTCTTGACGTCCACTATCTGTGAAGCACCGCTCACAGACACGAGTGTAACTGCTCTAACTGCTAGCATAGAAAAGCAAAGCGAAGTACGTTTCACCTCGTCCACACAAAAACACGCTGCAGTGAAGACAAGCGGGATCTGTAGTTCTTCGCCTAGTAAGCGCCAAGCAGACACGCCATTGAAAGACTCCATTACCCACAAACGCTCGCGGAGGGTTACTTCTTCTTTTATTCGACATCTGGTAGTAAAACTGCTGCTTCCGTCTGGCAGAACAATTGGTGCCGGTGTTATAAATAGAGATTTATTAAACAGTTAGTAGTGAACACGGAGGAAGTGTTGAACATACCGATATCGATACTTTTAAACTTAAAAAGGTAGCTAATGTAGGGGAGAGCAGTGTGCCATGGTTTATGAGATGAATTCTGATTAGTTTGCACTGATCACTAAATCACTGTGAGTTTTAGTTTTCACAATAATTTGCTAATAAAAACAAACCTGCTTTTGATTTATTTTGAAAATATATTTTATGGCAGTCATCTAAAAAAAAAATTTTTTTTTAACACAATTTAGTGGGCTACATACCAAACTTAGAGGATAGAAATAAAGTATTGATCCAGTTGTGCTGGCACTGATCTGTTACCAATACCAGCATTTGTATCTATAGTGTAGAGTGATCGGATTGAGCCGCCTGACATCTTTGTGTTTTTTTTAAAAGGAGTGAGACTTTCTGGTAATCTTTTAAAGTGATCTTGAACAATAGTTCTCCAGGCTTTCTGAAGGCCTTTGGAAGTTTTTCTTTGGACACTGGCTGCTTTTTCCACTCATTTTTAGTCCAGTCCTTTTACGTGAACTTTTTCATAGGAGTGTTTTAACACGGACCTGTGAACCATTCAAACATAAAAATGCACCTGATTAAAGGGGTCAACTGGTGTTGTGTCCAGTAGCGGTTTTTGATACGGTTTGATACGGTTGCCTCGTGGGGGGCGGCATCACGGGCATCGGCAAAAAAAATTTTAAAAAAAGAATGCTCGTAGCCTACTCATGCTGCCCCGACGACATGCCAGCGCATATTGGGAATGGTATAGGCACCGATTGGTTTTCTATCGCCTATTTGCTGGGAGTAAGGGCGCCCTGCTGCTTGCTGCACAGGGAGGAGAGGGCGGGGCGGCTGGAGCGGCATCTAATAACCAACTCGCAAAATAAAACAAAATAAAAACAAACCAACAAACACGAAAACACCAGACATCATGATACAGACTTATAATTTGCACCGATGTTTTTTCGAAATTCTATACGCGAAAAGTGAGCGCGAGAGCCCTCGGTGTGCCTGCTCGCTGCTGAAGTCAAAGTCATCTCCGCTACATAGAGAAACAAGGCGACGAGGCTCCAGTTACAGCAGTGCAAGTAAATAAACAATAAATATAAGAAGAGTAAGAAAATAAATATACACTTTAGGACCAGGGGTAAAGGGATCAATAACAATTCAAAATTTATAATTTACAGTTTGATGATTTAAAGTCTCACACACAAACAATCGAAAAGGGAGGGGGCCGGCTGCTTCCAAATAGAGCACATTTCATTCACAATCTTGTAAATCCAAGCCCATTATGTATTCATGATTTGGATCCTAGGTTGTGCGAAATCCCAGAAATAAGGGAGGGAGTTTTCGCCCAGGGCGCCAAACAGGCTAGGACCGCCACTGGTTGTGTCTGTATAAAACGGACAACTTAGTTTTAAGTTGTGGGAAAAAAATAATCATTTGTTCTAGTTTCTTTGGTTGGATCCATGAGAAATGTCAAAGTAAACATAATTTGACAGGCATGAAATTTTATTTTTGCACCAACAAGGTGATTCCCAAGACCTGTTAACTTAAAACTTGACATATCATGTGCAAGGTGTCCTAAAAAAGTTGAGGAAATTGGACAAAGTGGAGGACAAAAGAAAAAATGGCAGGCCTAACAAAGTATCTACACCAGATGAACAGTATCTGAAAGTCATGTCTTTCACAATGAGTAAAAAATTCAGAAAAAAATCTGACACAGACCCTGAGAGATGCATCTGGCCCCTCAGCTAATCAGTCTAATCATCAGAAATGGTCTCAGTGGACGTGGTATCAAGGCGGTGGCTGTCAAGAAGCCATTCGTAATGAAAGGAAAAAGAAAGAAAAGGCTAAGGTATCTTAAATCAGTGGTCCCCAACCTCCGGGCCATGGCCCGGTACCGGTCCGTGAGTTGTTTGGTACCGGGCCGTGAGAGTTGAGGTTTGGCGTGAAATTTATGGTTTTCAGGGTTTTTATTGATTTTTAGAGTTATTTTAAAAAAATCACATTTATCATTAACTCTTTTTCTCTGGGTCTTTTCCCATGTGTTATGAATAAATCTTTTTTTGTTACCAGCACTGGTTTTATTTTGACGTATTTATCCATGACACCTTAAAGGTCGCGACATAAACTGGTCCAGGGCGCAAAAAAGGTTGGGGGCCACTGTGTTAAATTATACAAGAACCAAACTAAAAATCACTAGCAACAGGTCTGATGGAGTGATGAATCTAAATTTGAAACATTTGTTTTAAGTCTTTTGAGTGAGTATGTAAGGAGAGGGTGAGGAGAGGTACAAAAGTGAGAGTCTACAGCCAACACAGAAGAGCAACAGTAGAGGCTCTGTCATGGTTTTTTTCCCACAACTCAAAACTAAGTTGTCCATTGGCTGCATTTCAGGCAGTATTATTGGAGCTCTCATCAAAATGATGGAATTATGAACACAGAAAAGTACTGTTAGATATTGATCCACCATGTAATACCATCTGGAAAGCATCTGATTAACAGCAGCTTAATTTTTCACAGTGACCCCAAACACACTGCCAATGTAATAATAATAATAAAAAATCAATAAAAACATTTCTATCCAGGTATGCGATAAAAACATACATGAATAGAAAAACACACAATAACAAACTGTCTGTCACGGGTTGGCCTCTCCAGAGCTCCGACCTCGGTTTTAGTGAAGCGTTGAAGAGCTCTGAATGTGCTTCAAAGAGCCTGGACACTATTCCTGAAGACTGGCAGCGGTAAAATGGCCAGGCTGAAACTATCACAATGAATGTCTGGCAATTTGCTGTAGGCCAAACCATCAATGTTTTCAGCACTTTGTTATTCTTTTTCATGTCTCTTCTTCTTTCAGCTGCTCCCTGTAGGGGTCATCTAGCACCATCTCACCCTGACCCCTAACATACTGTAGCTTTTGAGGCATGCCTTTCAAACCAATAAACATTTTTTTTCTTTTAAAACAGAACCAAATGTGAATGTGCAGATATCAGCTGTGATGGTATAATTTTAATGCTGGAATCACGTTATTATTTCATAATTGCTGCTTGTAGTCATGATTCAAAAATTTCACATTAGGAGGGTGAAAGATACAAAATAAACTAACATTGCATAAACTGGCATGTTTTATCCACCACATTTTACACTGAGCTCGCGTTAAGTTAAATTAAATTAAATGACTGTGAACTGTAAAATTGCTGTTTTGTAATGAGATGAGATTTTGTTTTGGGTTCGCGGGCACATGATAAGCTGTGCCAAAATTATGTAATTTCCATATGTGGCCACAGAGGTCGCTGTTATCCCTGAAACACAGTGTACTCCTGCTTTTCATAATACCTGCTGGAATAACTTTAATTTCGAATAGCTATAAATTACAGAGCCCCGCAGGGGACATGGGAGGAAAAAAAATGAAGATGGACTTTTGCGAGATCTCGCCTGGAGCCTTTATAGTATTTAAACCTCAGCCAAGGATTAATGTTCAGCAGCTGCCTTGTTATCTCCACAACACTCTCTCCGAGGCAAAGGTTGTTCATCCAGCCATTCTGCAAAAAACAACACATCTTTTGGAGCTCATTTGAAATGTAACGAAATTAAGCCAATCAAAGCAATGTCACAAGAATTTATTCTCATTTTTTGACACATGTCAACACAGCTGGAAAGCTAAAATATAAAAGACTTCTTTTCCACCCTGTTAAAATTTTTCTGAGGGCATTTGCACCGAGAGTCGTGAATCAATCAGATGGCTCGACAGCAAGATAATAGAAATAGGCCTGGGCTCTAATTAGTCAACAGAGTGAGTGCATTAGCAACACTCAGGATGGCATCACCCTGGAATTTTTTTTGACATGAAAATCAAACAAACAAGAAACCTCAGAGTGACGGGTACAAAATATGTGGTTTGCAACACTGCAGGTATTGGTAAGTACATCCACATGTAAAATACTGCATGTGTTTTTCATACTTTTTGCATAGTTTTGATCTAATCATGCAAAAAAGTGTGTGTGGGCAACTGTGCTGACAAATATGTTTTTGCACACACACACATATACATATATATATACACACACACACACTTTGGCAACCTGCGTTATTGGTGATCTGGTGTTTGCTTGTGCTTCGGCTGGGAAACTTCCACAAAGCGCCGCAGCAGTAGAGGAGATGTCTTTGTGCAGCTGTAATGATGCTGCTGATCCCTTGTTAAAGCAGTATGTTACTGCTTGCCTCTGGTCAAAGCAGAGCCAGAGCAAAAACCCAGACGCTACTGTATGCATTATATGATGACAATGTGCCCTCTGTGCAGCACTTCAGAAATGAGATGTTTACTGACTTTACCCACCATCCTTCAGTTTGCTGAGAGGTCCCTGTAAACACAGGTGAGTCTGTATCCCTTCTCTTGTGACTCTAGTTGAAAATGAGAACTTTAAAAGTTAAAATGCCATTAATTGGGCAAAATAAAAAGAAATTCAACTCTTGATCCTTCCCTCTCACTGGTCCCTCTACCAGGTCTGGTATAAAGAGGAAATAAGCCATGTTTTTCAAAGGGTATCAAACATGGAAGATTCACTTCAGAAGGTTGTAAACTGTTGTGTTGCATTTCTGTTAGATAAAATTTGGTCAAGCTACACTTGAGAATCTTTTAGAATAGGTACAATAGCTGTTAGTGACTCACTGGTTGTTATTTATTCTCAGTTTTTTTTTCTGGTTTTCAGGCAGAGGCAGAGTTTATATGTTTTACTCTGGATTTATGATAAGGAAGAGAAAATGTTCTAAAACCTGTCTCTTATTCAAGGAGCCCAAGGCCACTGATTTTGGCCTTACAGTTTTATAGCTGTTACTGGGTAACATGTCAGGTGTACACGTGTTTGCATCCTATATTATATTTATAAAGAGAGAAATCT